GGGGAGGTGGCGAAGAGGCCCCGGCGCCTCCTCAGCGCCGGCCCCTGTGTCCGCAGTGCCCGAGTACCAGGGGGAGCCGGACGAGATCTCGGTGCAGAAGTGCCGCGAAGCCGCCCGGCAGGTCGGTGCTTTTGTCCCTTTGTCCCGGAGCCGCGGTGGGATGGCGGGGGCTGAACCCTCGCCGGTGCGGTGTCCGGGCAGTCCCTCCAGCAGCAGGACGTGCCCGCTCCTGCAGCGGCTCAGTCCGGCTCCAGCAGCGGGGGGACAGAGTTCTGTCACTGCTGGATCACCTTCCAGAGCTGCCTGCGGGATGGGTGCCTTCAGGGAGCCGAGTGGGGATTGAAACGCCTGGAAAAGGCAGGGATGCCCCCAGGACACAGGCTCTCCTCCTCCTTAACACACCAATCCTGCTCCTCAGGAGGGCAGGGGCGTTCAGCTCTGATGGGTTTTCCCTGGCACACTCTGGCCATGGGTTTAGTTGTGTCTGTCTGGTGTGGATTGCCTCCGAGGCAAAGAACGTGAGTGGCTGGTGGATTTTTGTGATATTCCTGTTACTGTGGAAATGTGAGAATAGAATAGAGCAAGAAAATGGGTGTGGAGGCAGTGCCTTCCTCTAGGTGTAATGTTTTTGTCTCTTGGGGTTTTGCTCTAGGTTCAGGGACCTGTTATAGTAGAGGATACCTGCTTGTGCTTCAATGCCCTGGGGGGGCTTCCAGGACCATACATGTAAGTAGGAGGGCACTAGCTTCACCTTTGTGTCCCAGAGTTAGGAGTGCAGGCTGGCAGGGTGTGCTTCACTGGAGAAACTCCACGTGGCAGGAGCAAGAAAGCCACGGAGGTGATTACTGCTCTGTGTCCTCAGCTTCATCCTGCACCTCAGGGGCCTGGACTTGAACTCCTTGAGTCCTGCTATAAGTGACAGTGCAGGACTACAGAGACGGATGTGAATTATTGTCTCTGTATCTACAGTGTCTGCTCTTGCAGCCAGCTTAGGAATCTGGTCCTGCTCTTGGCTCTACATAGTTA